GGGGGGGGGGGGGGGGGAATCGAGAGAGCGGCCGATTCCGGGTCCTGGAGGTACAAGAACGTGTTTCTCTACAGGCGTTCTTCGCGTTTGCCCTAAATCACTTCAATAGCACCCGCTCTCCCATGTACATGGCAACGAATAACCCTGCAACAACGCCGACAAACCAAAAGCAACACATCGTTAACAGACCAACCAACGACATCCACACCACAAACACAACAGCAGCAACACCAACACCAACACCGGTTCTCACCTGACCAGGTCCAACGGCTTGCCAGACCGCACCTCCCCTCCTCCCACGGGAGACACCCCTCCGGCGCCCCCAGGCAAAGGCAACAGACGACCCTCGCTCCCACCGCCAGCGCCACCGCCCCCCTTCGCCGGTGCCCCCATCAGAAAGTCCAGGTTCCACGACGATGTTTCCGTCGGGGGGGGGAGCGCCAAGGACGGCGACCTCTCAGCGGCAGTGGCGGCAGCGGGGCGGGTTGGCTCCAACAGCGTTGGCTGCGGCGCCGGGGGCGGGCTCGCGAGAGGTGTAGGGGCGGCCGGCGGCGCCGACTGGAAGGTGTCGAACGGGTCATCGCTCCAGTCGCCGTCGTCTGCATCTCCGCTAGCAGCAATACCACCGTCACCTCCATCGTCGGGAGGAGGCGGTGGCGACTGGAAGGATTCGAAGGCGTCATCGCTCCAATCGCCGCCGTCGCCGCCGCCACCGCCGTCTCCATCATCAACACCTCCGCCATTACCATCCCCACCATCGGTAGAAGGCGGTGGCGCGCCATCACCTACGCCGTCGTGAGCGATGTCCGTGCCACTCGCTCCGCCTGCCGCGGGCGGGGTCAGGGGCACCCGCGGAGGGGGATGTCGAGGCATCTCGGGCGTCGGCGCCGCGGCCGCTTCCCCACAGACGAAGTCGTCGTCTTCGCCGTCGAAGGTCGGCGGGTCGCCCGAAGGCGTCGTCGGCGCTGGGAACGACGCGAAAGCTGCCTGGGCGGGTTCCACCGCCACCGCCGCCGCCGCCGCCGTCACCGGCCTTTCCACGCTCTTGGCTAACGCCTGATCCGCCACCGCCACGGCATCACTGCTGGGACCTTCCTTCGGGGTTGCCGCCGGCCTGCTTGCTCCCGCGGCCGTGCTCAAGTTCGGCGGCACCGGGGGGGGGGACGACGACGGGGAAACCACCCGCGGGCCACCCGTCGCCGCCGCCGTCGCGCTCGGCCTGGAAAAGACCGCTTCTGGGGCTCTCGACGGCGACACAACACGAGACCTCGCCGTTGTTGCCGCTCTTGGGGGCGACAGAGGCACGGGTGGGGGGGGCAATGATGATGCCGGCCGCGTCGCCCCCGCTGTCGCCGGCGAGTGGTCTGCAGACGGAGGAGGCGGCGGCGAGCGAGGCCGCGACGGGGTCAATGGTGCCAACGTTCCTCCTCGCGCCCCAGTGGTGAAATTGCCACGCCCGCTCGAACGCCTGCCGCGGTGGTCGAAGCCGTCGGCGTCGTCGGCGTCCCCCAACCGCAACGCGTCTGGCACCGGGCGGATGCCCCTCAGGATGCATTGAGCCGCCCAGTGGTGCAGCCGGACAGGCGCCCGGCTTCGGTAGGGATGTGCGTGGCGCTGTAGCGGAGGAGGACGGGTGCGTTGAGGAGGTTGGCAGATAGGAGCGAGATGGGGAGAGGGGTCATTCGAAACCACAAGAATCATCACTTCTGCAGCGATATTTAGTATCGCGTAGCATGCACAGTCATCGCTGGGAACAACAACGACAGCGGTCACAACAACGACACCACCAGCAACACAACAGCAACGACAGCATGCTGAACAACAACAACAACAACAACAACGACGACGACGACGACGACGACGACGACGACGACGACGACGACGACGACGACGACAAGATCAACCTCTGAATAGGCCCTCACCATCAAGGGCGCCAGATCGACCCGAGAGTCAAGTGGGCCCTCCTCCCCCTTCGCGCCACCGCCCAACGACGGAGCCCCTCGCATAACAATCCCCATTGAAGTACTTGATTCCGCGGAGCCCCCGCTGTCGAAGGCCTCGTCAAACACGGTCACCATAACCGCCAGCAACGAGGGTCTCTGCAGAAAGTACAATACCAAGTAGCACGGGTAGGGGTGTAACGCGGCGGTAAGGACGCGGAGATTTTCGAGGAGGCAAGAACGATCAGGGCTACCCCAGCATTCCATACTAGAGACAAGAAGGTAGAGGAGAGAAACATCCGAGCCACAATGCACCGAACACTGCTCTGTCGAGCTATGCCCTGCCGTTCACGGCATCCTCCAAATCAGCATACCACTACCACCACCACCACGACCGTCACGGGGTGAAATCCCAGCATTGTCGAGGGTAGCATTCAATCTGGCGAACAACTAAAGCTGGTGTGTACTGGCTGTATCTTGCGTAAGAAAACAGACCCCCTGGATCGATATACAAAGCCCGATGACTCCACGACGAAGAGATGGGTTGATCAGATTGTGCGCTTTCGGGAAAGCTCTCGACTAGGCTACACGGTTCCAGCGCCGCCATTTTTTCGGTACCGCAGCTGTTCGTGCTGCGAAGTAGTCGGGCTTCAAATTCGGTCCAGGGGATGTGGTGTCTCATGCCACCCTCGGCGGTAGCTCGAGCAACAACCCCGAGGACGGGGTGGTTCCCGGAGAAGTAAAACCCCGTTGGCACGCGTCCTTGAGGTTAGCAACACCAGGCCGTCTTAGAACAGCACGACCGAAAAACTCCGATCGATCGATAACTCCAACCGTAGAATAGCCACTGGTGCATCTAGTTCAAGTCATGCCATAGGCCGAGGTAGGACGAAATACGAGACCTGCTGTCACGATAACCGTCGCTGCCGTCTGCCGTGTCCCCTTGCAAGCGGGATGTCGAAAAATACGAACTTGCGACACAAACGGACCCTTTGCTAACAACTCCGCGGTCCACCCCCCCCCCCCCCCCCCCCCCCCCCCCCCCCCCCCCCCCCCCCNNCCCCCCCGGCCCACCACCACCACCGCTCACCTCGCCCGTTGCCCCCGCCGCCCCGCTCACGTACGCTGACATCGCACTCGCCGCCGCCTTCGTACCACCGCTTCCACCCCCCGCGGCCGCCGCCGCGCTCTCCTTCGCCCGCACGCCAACGGCCGGCGCAGGGCTTTTGGGCGGCGGTGTCGGGGGAGCGGCAACACACGGGGTCCCCGCCCCCGCCCCCGCCGCCGCCGCCCCCCCCGGCGGCGGCGGCGGCGGCGGCGGCGGCGGCGTGATCGCTGCGCTAGCCTCGGGTGGTCCCGCCTCCTCTTCCGGCGTCGGCGCTTCCTCAAAGTCGCCAAAGTCGCTGCCCCAGTCGTCTTCACTCTCCGGCTCCTGATTGTCACCGCCGTCCGCCGCCGCCGTCGTCTCCGCTCCCGCGCCGACCCCGGCCGCTACCCCGCCCTCGACGCCGACCTGGCCTCCATCTTGGTCCTCAGCCGGTGGTGCGGTTGTTGCAGTTGACGTTGTCGCTCCGCATGCTCGCGCGGTTTCCAAAAGATCCTTCGTGGCGGCCGCCGCCGATATTTTGTCCGCTTCTATCGTCGGCCCACCCATCGGTTGCGCCCCGGCATCCGCTCCCGCGATGTCGGCGGCGGTTGACTGCAGCGGCGGCGGCGGCGGTGGTGGAGGCGCCTCATCAAACGCTCCCCAGCCGCTGCTACTCTGCGCCTCCGCTCCGAGCTCTGGAAGGGCAGGAGGCGGCTCTTTCTCATCGTCCTCGATAGGTGGTTTTCCAACGAAAGGCATTTTTCCATCGGAAGGAGCTTCCCCACCCGCCGGCGTTGTCTCATCGGAAGGCGTCTCCCCATCAGAAGGCATGTTCCCACCTGAAGGAGGTTTTCCACCGAATTGCGTTTTGCCGCCATTGGTGTTGTTGTCGGCACGCCCAGCCGTCTCCCCCGCCGGAGCCTTTTCGCTGCTAGGCGGCTCTACCTCCTCGAAAGCCCCCCACTCCTCTCCGTCCGACATCATCACCGCTGCCACGCCAGGAGAAACGCTTGCCGGTCTGTCGTCCGCAGCTTGCCCCGAATCAGAGGACCCTGATTGGTCTATTTCTTCCACCTGTGCAGGCGGTGTCGACGACGTCTCTGCGTGGCCATCTTTCGCTTCCTCCCCCACGCTTGACACTGAGGCGGTAGGCTCGGCGGCCGGAGCGTCACCGGCCGTGGGGGAGTCCACCTCCTGATGAGCTTCTCGTGAAGACGGAGCCGTAGGGGCATCGAACGCCAGCCATTCGTCTCGCTCCCCTGCCTCCTCCTGCTGTCGCTTCGTCTCCTGCAGCCCCTCCTTTTTCTCCGCCTCGCTGGACCCGTCAACCGCAGCCCTTTCCGCTGCTTCCACGGCACCCGTCGAATCTCCGAAGTCTCCCCAATCGGGGTCATCGGGCTCGGTGACACCCCCCTCCGCCGAGTCGGCATCCCGCTCCGACACAGCGGTCGCCGCTGGCAGCTGCCCTCCCCCAGCGGACAACGGCGCCAGCTCTGCCTCTTCTCCAGCCGTCTTCGCCGCTGCTGCTGCCGACGCCGCTGCGGTCTCCAGCGCATCTGTCCCTTTTGCTGCCGCCACCGCCGACCCGGCTGTTTCGGTGACACCATCCTGCTTCCCCGCCCCCGGCGCTTTATCTTGAGGTGTCTGCGGTGGTGGCGGTGGTGCGGTGACCAAGCCGGCTGGGTCCGGGCCTCTTCGCCGGGCCTCTTCGTGAGGCGTGTCGTCGGGCTTCTCGGCGAGAGGCGGGGAGGCCGCTACTGCGCCAAGCAACGGCTTGGCCGCCGCACCCGCGTCGGCGGCGGGCGTGGCCAGGAGATCGCCGTCCACATCGGGGGATTGTGCCGTAGCTGGACCCGTGTCGGAGAAGCTGGCTCCCAGTGAGGCTTCCGGTTCGCCCACTTCCGCCACAAGGGTCGATTCCTGTCCTGCAGCAGCAGCAGCAGCAGCAGCAGCAGCAGCGGCAATGGGAGCAACCGCGATGTCGTTCTCGTGCCCGAGGTCCCCCATCAGCAAGACACTGCTTGGACCTTCATCGCCGCTGCTGTCGCCAGCAGTAGCAGCAGCAGCAGCAACGGGGGCAACGGCGACGTCGTTCCCGTACCCCAAACCCTCCAGCAACGAGATGCTGCTTGGCCCACTACCACTATCGCCAGCAGCAGAAGCAGCAGCAGTAGCACCAGTGGGGGCAACGGCGACGTCGTTCCCATACCCCAGGCCCTCCAGCAACGAGATGCTGCTTGGCCCACTACCACTATCGCCAACAGCAGAAGCAGCAGCAGCACCACCACTAGTGGGAGCAACCACCACATTTTCCCCGTATCCGAAGTCCCCCTTCAACGAGATGCTGCTTGGCCCACTACCGCTGTCGCCAGCAGCAGAAGCAGCAGCAGTAGCACCAGCGGGAGCAACGAGGATATTATTTCCGCATCCAAAGTCCCCCACCAACGAGATGCCGCCCGGACCATCTTCACCGCTACTACTACTGCCGTCGTCGCCAAGCTGCTGCTTCTCCGGAGATGGCGGTGTTGTTGGTTCCGGTTCTTCTCGCTCGACCGGCGCTGTGCCTTCATCGCTAGCGGCCAGCGTCTTCTTGGCATCATCGCCGCCGCCATCATCGTCCAAGGTTTCGGCGCCACCTTCGCCACCCTCCGCATGGGCCGATGCCGCCCCGGCCAGGTCAATCCACTCCTCCCCGTCCAGCTTCTCCGCGGGCGGCGCCACGGGCGTCATCTCCGGAGATGATGATGATGATGCCGGCGCGGCTACTACTGCTGTGTTGGGTGCTGCTGCTGCCGCTGCAGCTGGCCCGGCGGGCCGCTCGAAGAGACCCCACTCGTCGTCATCACCGCCGTCTGCCTTCTCGCCCTCGTGCAACAGATCACTTGCAGTAGCAGCAGCAGCAGCAGCAGCAGCAGCAGCAGCAGAAGAAATGCTGTCGCCGCTATCGGCGTCTGCGGTGATTCCCGCTGCTACCGCGGGGGCAAATAAGTCCTCACCGCCAGCAGCAACAATGCTGCCGCCGCTCCCACTAAGCGTCGGGTTAGGCAGCGAATCTAGCAGGTCAGCTGCCCCACCATTGCCACAGCCAGCTGCCGATTCAGAGCCATTATCAGCAGCGGCGGTAGCAGCCTGGTGGTGCTGCGGCGGGATCATCTGCTCCACGGCGGGAGGAACAATTGTTGCAGCAGCAGCAGCTGTGGGCTCGTGTAGTCCAACAGCTGGAGCCGTCTCCACTTTCTCGGTAGTAGACTTGAAGTCCCCCCACGCGTCGTCTTCTGGGGAATCCATGCCTTACCTCCCTGTATCCTATGACTCGGGACTCTGCGTGGACAGCGGCGTTGCGACTGCCATACCAGCGCGCAGAATACCTCTTCGATGTACGTAGGGGTTTCCATAAGGAAGGTGGCTCTGGTTGAAGCCGCCTGAGACAGAGAGCCGTGGGCAGGACCGGGAGCAGCACACAACACAGCGTGAGGCGTGGTGGGGCCGCCGTGTGTACCTTCAGCTTGTGGCTTTGCTTCACGTCTTCGGGTGCTATTCTCCCCAGCGCAAAGTTCTTCGGCTCCAGCAGTGTAGCACGGCGGATGTCTTCCATGCGGCGGAGAGTTGGGCAAACAAAAAGGGGGTAGACAGACTACTCCTTCTTTCTCGTCATCACCCACGCTGGATAGCAGGGATAGCAGCAGAGGCGGTGCTAGCCCTGCCCACAATGGTGCTGGCGGAATCGGCGAGAGAGAGGGAGAGAGAGGGTAAACGCAGGCGAAGGAAGCGCTGCTGTGAGGCTTGTGTGCTGGGTCGAACATTCCCCCAAGATTGCTTGTTGGTTTTCGTTGATGGCAACTCTCCTTGATTTGGTTTTGTTCTCGGCTAAATTTGCAAGGTTAGGAATACACACACTCTATTCGATAGAATTAGACCATCTGACCAGTCAACGTTGACTGGTCAGATGGTCTAATTCTATCGAATAAAAGATATGCTCAGAGCTCGTTTGCACCCGGCTGGAACACTTGGGGTTGGCTTTCGGCTTTCATCACTGGGATTGAGAGTAGGGATCTCCGGGGACGGACCCCTCGCCAGACGTCGCTGTTTTACAATGGTGACATAATTTTATGCGAAGAAAGTGTTCCAGCCGGTATTCGAACTCGTGCGGGTATCCTTTATTCGATAAAATTAGACCATCTGACCAGTCAACGTTGACTGTGCACGTAGTCAAATGGTCAGCCTTTATCGAATAAAAGATACACTCTCGGCTCGTAGCCAATCCCAGTGGATCTGATAGGGTGTAGTTATCTCCGGGGACGGACCCCTCGCCACAAGATGCTGCTATTAGCCGAT